CTACATTAAATGTATTTAAGGGAATTCTTTATACATCCATGAAATATTTTTATGTTTCACTTCTTCTTTCACCTAAGTACAATGAAATAGTTTTTTTAACAAAGCCATTGCCTTGATTAGATGTATTTTAAATACTTTTTTCAAACTTAAATAAGTTTAAATTTAGTTAGTTAATTTCATTTAATTACCTTTAAAACACCCAATTTCCGTTAAATGATATTAGTTTTCACAAATTATTATTTGTAATTTTTCGTCACTCTCCATTACTTTCTATATTATATATTGTATTTTCTAAAATTCTCCGCTTTCCAACCATATATTATACGGACACCTTCTGACTAGTATGTCGGGAAATTCATAAATAAACATTTTCTATTCTTTATCCATTTTTCAATCATCAAATTATTTCAAAAGTTATATTTATCATTTTTTCGTAACTCTTGAAAATGAGAGATAGTTAATTATTTAAAACAAACTAAATTAAACATACTTTAGATGGAGACATGTTGAACATTTAAGCATTTAAGTCCTGTAAATTGACATGAATGGGAATACGATCTAAATTATATTAAAGTCCACTTAATTATACAATGATGTATAATTATACCGAGATTAATCAAAATCGTTAGAACCTTTTTTGAGAAAATTGTAAAAGTGTGTAACCGTTGATATAAAATAACACTTTCGGTTAGTCGATTTTAACGAAAATGTTGCTGCCACATCCAAGTCATATACCTAAATTAAATACGTAATATCAGTTTCGTATTTTTTGTTTTTGAGCTAGAGCGTTCACATACACATAGACACACAGACCATTTTTCGGGACTTGATTATTTAGACTCAGTGGAATTAAAAACGTGTATTTATTATTAAACGTGACTTTTGATCTATTGATGATATATTTAAAAGCAAGTAACTGTATTGCGGTGTGTTTTCCAAGGGTAAAAAATAATAATTTAAATACATGTAAAAGTGATGGAGATTTAATAACTATAATTTATACTATCTAGTACGATCCTTACTTATTCATAATTAAATATATGAACTTTCAAGTCTCTCTTTGCCTATAGAGCTCAGAGACTGGAGTTATGTGATTCAAATAGGCTGATGCAGTGATATCTAAGGCTAAACGTTGGTTTTTAATAAAATAATTTTGCCACTATTTAGTCTATTTATGACAGCCACCCCGGACCATCTCCTTCCATTAGCTTAAGGTTTTCATAGGCTACAATCGATATTATAAATAGGTTTTATGATATTGTGAAGGTCTTAACGAGTTATGTATTGATAAATATGAACGAAATTCAAAAATATGTTCTTTAAAATTTAGTTGCATTGAAATTACGCTTGAAAAACTAACCCAATATCGCCAGACAAAAATTGCTTTTCGAAGTATAGCGGTAATTGTGTGATACGCGCACAAGATTTTTTTTCATAGTTGTGTCGTTATTACCTTTAAATCCTAAATCTGCTATGGTAAAAAAACAAATTTCAGTAAAAAAAAAGTTTCTGGTTTAGATATAATAAATTATCTCTATTAAATATATATATATATATATATATATATATATATATATATAAACTAGCATAAATATATAAACCACGAAACTAGCAACGACAATGGAGTGAGATGCATTAGTCTGGCAGCAGCTAAAGATCTAGTAGTAAGCAGTACGATGTTCCTGCACATAAGTTTACCTGGGTAAGTCCTAAAGGAGCAAAAAGCCATATCGACCATGTGCTGATAGACAAGAGGCCCCAAAGCTCCATACAAGACATAAGGAGTCATCGTGGAGCAGACTGTGATTCGGAGCATACTCTGATTAGAATCAAACTCTGTCAGAGGCTGAAGCGAATCCACCGAATTGGAAACCAAGTGGAAAGACAGAGGTACGAAGTCTGTACTTTGAAAAACCCTATAGTACAAGCTGAATTTCAAAAAAAGCTGAAAAATAAATCCGAATCCCTGAACTCGGAAGGTCCCACGGTTGACCAACACTGGGAGGCACTAGACTCAGGGCTAAAACAAACAGCTAAGGAAGTAATAGGGATTTAGGAAAAAAGAAAAGCCTAGAAATGGTTCAGAAGCATGCGAAAAGACAGTGGAGGAAAGAAGGAAAGGAAGAAGAAAAGTCCTCTGCTTACAAACTGGAAAAAGACAAACAAAATAATAAGAACAGCCAAAAGAGTATTCCTCAAAGAAAGATTAAAAACTATTGAGGAAAACTGGCAGGGTGAAAATATATGCGAATTATTCGCAGATATCAAGAAAGAAAGGGTTGGTTATAAAGCGAGAAATACACAAAGCGAGGAAAAGATGGCAAATTGACGGCATCAAAAGAAAAGATCCTAAGCATCTGGAAGGAACACTTCCAGCAGCTGCTTAACCAAGGGCACCCCACAAACGAATAAGACGTGGACCACACTGAGGACATTGACAGGCTTAAAAGAAGAAAGGCCCAGGGATATACAACCTACCATTAGAATTGTTCAAGGATGAAGGAGAAGAACTTAAGAGCCAAGCTGATAGATCTAATCCAGAAGATATGGGAAAAGGAACGGATACCAGAAGCATGGAAGACAGGGTTGATCTGTACTATCCTTAAGAAGGGTTCCACCATGTATGTATGTGGCAATTACAGAGGCATAGCACTTCTTCCGGTCGCCTATAAAATAATGACTAATATCCTGTTAAATCGGATATATCCGTATTATGATAACATAATAGGCGATCATCAAACAGGATTCAGGAGAGGGAGGAGTACGGTAGATCAGATATTCTTCCTGAAACAAGTACTTGAAAAACGATAGGAAGTAGATCAGGACGTACGCGCATTATTTGTCGACTTCAAATCAGCCTATGCCTCCGTTGACAGAAACTGTCTCTGGAAGATCATGACTGAGCTGGGTGTTCTCGGGAAATTAGTGAGGTTGACGAAGGCGTGTACAAATGATCCTAAATGTAGAGTCCTAGTACAAGGAGACGTATCTGAAGCCTTTGAAGTTCGAACGGGTTTGAGGTATGGAGATGGACTCTCGCCGATGCTGTTCAACTTAGTGCTAGAGAAAGTAATGAGTGGAGGAAGCTGGAGGGGTGCACGTTGGAATGAAACATAAAATCCTAGCATATGCCGATGATATAGCTGTCCTCGAAAGTAATCTAGAGGATATTGAGAGACGCGCTCGGACTCTATTAAAAGAAGCAGAGAAAATCGGACTACAAGTCAATGTAGATAAAACAAAATACATGATAGTTAGCCGAAACATTCACCCTAATAGCATGATCTGTGTGGATTCTAAGTCATAGTCGAAAGTCGACAGATTCAAATACCTCGGCTCCACAATAACCTCAATAAATGATTAACTAACAGAGATAGACCAGCGAATAACAAGTGCGAACCGATCTTTCTTTTCTCTTTTAAAGGTACTGAAATCCAGAAAAATCTCCAGAAATCACAAAATAAGGGTGTACAACGCCGTGATTAAGCCAGTTCTGCTGTATGGTTGTGAAACCTGGGCTCTAACAGGTACATTAGAAGCCAGAATTGAGAGATTCGAAAGTAAAGTTCTATGTAGGATAACAGGACCTATATGGGACCAGAACCTTATCACATGGAGGAGTAAGAACAATAAAGAACTGTTGAAAGAAACGGGTCAGTGAATATCTCATGACACAAAGGCAAGGAGGTTTAGAAGGACAGGGCATGTAGCTCCTAGTAATCCATCAGGACGGCTCTACAAGGCAATGAATGGCAGAGTAGTAGGCAAGAGACCATGTGGGAGGCCAAAAACCAGATGGATAGATAGGATAAACAAAGATACGGCTGAGCTTCATGCCACAAACTGGAAAGCAGTAGCTCAAAATAGGCAGAGGTGGAGAAGGCTGGTTCAGGCGTCCAAAGATCTACAAGGTCTGTAGAGCCAACCGAAAAAAAAAAAATATATATATATATATATATATGTATATATAAAACAAAACTGTAATTCCTGGAACAATAATAATTTTAGAATTTCATAACATATTCTTACATTTAATAGATATATATGCGTTATGATTTAAAAATGATGCATATCGTGATTGTTTAAGTATTTATCTCAGATCACTGACACAAATACAGAAATATATATTTAATAATATATTATTACTTATAATATATTACATGTATATTGAAATATATATACAGAATATATTTTTACTATTTGTGCGTGGGTCTTGAGTCCAAAAGCCCCCTTCCCCTCTCCCTCCAGTAGTTTTTATTAAACTTATTTGCCATATATTTTTGCAATTTTAAGATTTTTTATTATTTCCCATTTTATTTTCATTTAATCTTCAGTAGAATTTTGTTTCTTACTAGTTAAGCAATGATTTGATTACTAAGGGTCATAAGAGGAGTGCGCCCAAAGGGGGTTTTATGGTGCACATTTTGATGGGATTTTGTAATTTTGAGGGTAGCACATTTCGGTGGGGTTATGAATTTTCGGAGTGAAGTTTCAAAATAGAGAACTAGGGGGGAACACGAGACATAAACAGCAAGTGTAATTGTGTATGATCAACAATTTTTCTAATTCTATTTTCAATTGTACTATTTTTAAGATGAGGATTCATGCACCATCGACTTTAGGCGAAATGGGCATCCCTAGGTTATAAAATTCCCATAGTAATAAATTAACATAAATGAATAATATTATAATTTACTAATTATTATTACTAGAATTATTTATAATTCTAAACTTTGAAAAATACAAAAAAGTTTACTAAAACAGAGGACTGTTTAAGTTAAATTAAGTCTTTTACTTAACTAGTTGGTGATCTATCAATATTTTATCAATACTATAAAACTTAATAATTATTTTGTATTTAACTGGAAACAGACCATAATTATCAGAGGATGTACCAAGGATTAGAAATAACATTTTAAAATTGATCTATTAATTTTATCATAGACAAATATAACCGTCCATGAGTTAAAAAATAACATAGTAATTTAAGAAAACAAAAATTATTGATGGAATGTACTTTATTTTTTATTAATATCCATATTATACATGAGCTCCCCTTAAAGTAAAGGTTAAAACAATTATTTACATACAAAAATATAAACTATAAACAAAATTGTACAATAATAACAATGAGTAATTTATCATTATAATGAACAATAAATATCTAACTAATTTTCAACAGTAGTCAAGATAGTTAACAAACATTTCACATTATTTATAATGTTAACTCACACATTGTATAACAAAGAAATATTCCATTCACAACCAAAAGATGTAGTCTATTTTTGAAACTAAAATAAAAGATTGAATAAATACCTAAGAAATAAATTACAAAAGGAAATATCACAGAATGTTTTAGATACATTTTAAATGCTTATTAAAAGGAAGGTATAACAATATTATTCGTACTTCAGTCTTGATAGTGATGTTTACAATATCATTCGAAAATGTAAAATAAAAAGTAGAGAAAAATACCTCATCGTACTAATGGTATCTAAGATAGATGCTCTGGATCTCTCCAAATATATCCAATCTTTGGTCGTAAGACTAAGGAATAAATTTAAAATTTAAAACTGTAATAATAAAATAAAATTAGACAGCCACCTATTATATCCTATTATACATTATATCCACCAATTATTTTCATGAAAACTATTTTTAGAAAATTCAATGAATCATTGTTTAACAATCTTAGTAATTATAATAAATTTTTATTTGTACCTAACCAATTTTTATTTTATGAGGTAGTTAAAAATATAATTAATCTGTTAGTAATCTTTGTTGGTTTAAAAATTAATTTATTCATTAAAATATGCTAACTAGTATGATATTAACATTTGAAATATCTAGTATCAGTGAAAATGTAAATATTTGCTCAATACAAGAAATTTTCTCAACACTAAATACTGAAAAAAAAAAATAAAGGTATCAATAAAGTCATATAGAATTAAAATAATTTAGGCAACTCCTCCTAGTAACCACTCTGACACAACAAATTCTAGTTCAACCAATAGTTTTTAATATTAACCCAAGTTTGATTTAGTATACCAATTAATCATAGAATATATACGCAACTGGTAACAGTAAAAAAGTATAAGTTAAGGTAATAAATAAAAAGCCTTCAATGGAACTATTTCACGGAGGAGCTATGAAAATTAAAGAAGTTTGAGCATAAGTTCAACAATAGGTCAGAGAAGGAGTTTGTTTTCTTCCTGAACCATTATCAAAGTTAATAATAAATAGTGTTTTAACTTTAAAATTGATGTAAAAATCTTAGACAGGTAAATGCTTTGACCCGTTAAATGTACAATTAATTTTTGTGGAGAAACATGAAAAACAAGATCTAAATGCCCTTATTAAAACACTATTCAATATAATTATTAATAATATAATAATCCACATTTTCAAACTTATTAAAAGTAACTCTAAATCTTTAGATCAAAGATCTCACCTAGACTAATATCTAATAATCTTTAGTTATTTCCATAGACAACAATAAATACATTTTTAAACTTCAAAATAAAAGGGTTAACATCACTTCAGCATTGGAAGACTTTTAAACTTTTTGAAATATATCATATGCATAAGCTTTCTTTCGGTATGTTTTTTTAAACAAAAATTTAATACACACTAATATGATAATTGCCAAGGAAAACATATACAATATGACACAAAGACTGACATCTAAAATATTGAAATTAAACTGAAGTGTTTTACTTTCAGTTGAAGAATAATTAAAGCCTTTTTCTTCCTCCACGTTTTCATGTCTAAGCAAATTATTAACAATAGGTTCTTCAGATGTGCTTTCTGGTAACTCATCCAACATAAAGAAACTAATATTCTTATACATTGAGCTAAGGTATGCCAAAACTATTTTCTCATTCCAAGTACCATTGCTATAATGGCAAGCACGACAAAGATTTGGTGGAGGAAACTGAACTTTAGGGTGTATTGGATCTTCTGTTGGATCTTTGCTCAAACGTTTATTGACACTGTTATGGGCTTTCCAAAGCCAAAGTATACTGTCTGCTGTGGAACTTACATTTCCTTCAAACGTCACAGCCATACTTTGGAAATGCATAGAACATTCGGTACAACCAAAAAAATGTTTTACGTAACCAAGCATTGCTCTTAAAACCTTTTTACTTTCTGTTGTTCTGGCATAGTCAGCTTGCACTGTAAGAGTGTGAAACATAGTCCATAGACTACAAGGGTAACCTCTGTATTTTGGATTACTCCCTCTACATCCTATATAATTGGAACGGGGGGATAGATATGGAGAATGGGTAATTTCTTTAGCTACAACTATGTTTCCAAACTCAGTTCCTGATACTGAACTTTTATCTTTTATATAAAACATTATAGAATGTAAATAATCAATTCCTTTTTTGCCGAATGGAAAAAATTCAATTAGAGCTTCCAAATATAATTTTAAGGCATCAAAGCTTTCTCCAGATATTGTTTTGTGAGATGGGATTTCAACTCTTAAGCTGTTCCTCACAGCATTTTCAATATCAACTTGAAACACGATATCACTTAAATCATTATGATTTAACTTTTTTTTAATCTGCTCTTCTATCTCCATGAGTTTCATAATTTCCCCCACATCTACAATTCCTGCAGGAGGTACCTCCTTCCTAACTATTTCTGGAATTTCAACACCTTTTTGCATCAATATGTCCCGAATTTGAGAATAAACAGTTATACGAGACTGATTAATGGGTTTAATGGGCACAACTGCTAAATGCCTATCTAAGATATAAATGAATGGAAATTCCAGAGTGCCTAATCTATTAATCAGTTCTACGTTATTATCGAAAACAATAAGAACTTTCACACTAGGAATTTTCAAAAAGTCAAGGGCTAGACTCTCTCCTAAAACTGAGTCATTTTGTTGAGCAACTATGACAGAAAACTGTACAGAACTGGGAGCATATTGCCAAACCTTTTCTAGAGCATTTTCTTTGAATGGTAACAGAGCAGGCTGATTTATAGTTCCATCAGCAGCTTCTTGCCTTAATGTTTTCAAAGTAATTTTCATGAGATGTTCTATATCACCTGATTTCACAAGAGTTCCAAGGAAATCATTAGCAGGTAGAGGTGGGAAATATTTTACCAGAGGATAGAACATGATTTCATACTCTCTACATAAAGGGGTGTTCATAGGATTAGAACAATCAACAGCGGCAACTGAGATTACATCTTTCCATCCTGAAAATAAAGATTACATTAGTTTGTAACCTACAGAAAGGGATTTTGTGGATAATAACATAATTGAAACTAACCAGATATATCCAATGCAAACTGTTTCCAAACTGGTGAAAAGCGATGACAGTGGCCACACCAACTGTTATAAAACTCCACAAGCCATGAAGTGCTTTGAGAACTGTTGAAGATGGTAATTTTAAAAGTTGAGGCATTCAATGACACAACTTGTTCGAAGTGAGAATAAAGTCCTCTGCCGGCTGTGATATCGTGATAAATCTTCTTACTGTCAGGAGATATATCCCCTTTCACGTTAAGCAATAAAAGGAAACACGTTAAAAGAACATAAAAAGATTTTAACCAAATCATGATTATTAAAACAATTAATTCGACACAAATTTATTTAAAAGCCACAAGAAATAGACACGAGAATCATTTTAATTTAATGTTAATTGTCGAGGAAACGAGAATCCGATTCTCACTACAACCACCTAACAACAATGACGGCCCAGTACTAGTTAAAATAAATTACTGAATGGTATTAAGCTCGCTCTTACCGCGATCTGTTTGCCGATTTGTGAACTATTTGGTTAGGTTAGCACAACTCCTGCTATCTATTGGTGTACTTTTTATGTAACAATATTTTAAGTGAATGTCAAGTCTGTAAAATTCCTGGAATCATAAAATCTTTATTTTTATTATGGTGTATTTAGACATTTCATAAACAATAGAAAACACAATTATCTAACTTAACATTTATTTAATTTCTTTTGATACCCACAGCAGATGGAAAATATCAAAACATGAAACACAAATATTAGCACAGTGAAATAACTATTTATATATTTGTTTGTCCCATAGTTTTTGAAACTTCTAAATGCACCTTAAAACTATTTGAAGTCAATTCTGTTGATCTTACGGATTGGAAAACTGTTATTAAAATAAATTTAAAAGTATAATCATTACCAGTTAATTGTTGGTTGACCCTATGGTAAATAAAGGAGATAGTCCACAGTTTTGTCAAAAAAGGATCCTCACATAATGATATAATAATAAACAATTACAATTACTTAGTGCTGGTTTTCTGATGATTCCTTGGCCACTTACATATTAATTATATACTGTGTTACTTGATATTTGAATATTTTTTCCTTAAATAGTTTTAACCATCAAGGAACCAACACAATTATACAGTGATGGAAAAAAGTATTTGCCCAACACGTTTTTATGAATAAAGTAGTTCAAGGAAACAAATAACTTCGCTTTCCTTTGCAAAAATGGAAAGTAAATTTATTAAAAAATGAAAAAACCTTTTTACAAAAAAATAAAAACACTTCATAATCAAACAAAATAATTAAAATAATAAAAGTGCTTGGAAAAAAGTATTTGCACACTTCAACATTTAGAAGTTTATTTTAAATTTTAATAGTTTTAATATTTTGTAAATAGGCCATTTGCGTCAATAATCGCTTGTAGACCTCTGGATATTGAATGCACTAGGTTTCTAATTAAATTTACGTTTATTTGTTTCCATTCTTGAACAAGAAGTTGTTTTAGGTGATGTCCACTAGTGATATGGTGTTTTCTTACATTTTGGTCAAGGGTGTGCCATAAATTTTCAATGATATTTATATCTGGTGACTGAGGAAGAGTGTGGAGCTGTCTTGGAACGTTAAATATTAACCACTCCTTTGTTCTCCTGGCAGTATGTTTTGGATCGTTGTCCTGCTGGAAATAGTACTGATCCTGGATTCCCATTTTTTCGGCACTAACACGCAAATTATGTCACAAAATGTTCACATAGCCTTCCGCATTTAAAATGCCTTCAATGCTCACAAGATTTCCCATGCCATGGTAGGAAACACACCCCCAAACCAAAACATGTCCTCCACCATGCTTAATAGTTGTTAAAACAATTTGCTTCTTTAGAGTTTCATTACGATGTCGCCATATTGTCCTTCGACCATCTGAACCAAACAAATTAAATTTGCTTTCGTCAGAAAATATGACATTTTCCCAAAAGCTTAAGGGTTTCTGTACGCACTCCCTAGCAAAAGCAAGGCACTTTTTGCGATTCTTTTCACTGATGTATGGCTTCTTTCTTGGAACTCTACCATGGAGCCCTTCCGAATTCAGGACATATCTAATTGTTCTGCTAGTAATCTGAATTTCAGACGTTGATTGGCCCATTGTAGCCAGCTCCCGAGAACTTGTCAGAGGATTTTTAAGAGCTTCTTTTCTGATTTTCCTCTTCAGCCTGGAAGTTAACTTTTTTGGACACCCTTTACGCTCACTTTTTTCAGTTGAATCACGTTCTTCATACCTTTTTATGAAGTATCTCACTGTAGAAAAATTCAACCCTAAGAAATCGGCAATTTGGCGATATGTTTTTTGCTGATTCCTCAGTAAAACAATTTTTTAGCGAGTTGCGGCACACAGTTCACTTGTCTTTGGCATGATAATTGCCTATTGACTAAAGGAAACTGATTGAAAGACTAGAGAATACTGGTAATAAATGGTTAGAGATACATTAGTAAACAAACTTATGACGTATGGACACTGGAGGATTACTATATGTAATAATATGTAAATTGTTTCAATAAATTTTGGAGGGTACGAAAAAAAAAAAAAAAAAAAAAAAAAAAAAAACTTTTTCTGAGATCTGATACTTGTATTACTTCAAGGTTTATGTTCCTGTTAGTATCTAGTAACTGTTTTTCTTTTCCTAATTTTGGTTTCATATATTTTCTATCAGGAGATCTGATAATGATAGGATTAATTAAAAGATCTTTTAAAATTGTTCAATCTTTGCCATTCTACTTCCTCACTACTAAAGACCGGAAGCTTTTAAATTCTCAGATTATAGATATTTATATTTTGGGTTAATTTTATTAATGATAATCAATAGGTTATTCTATTTCTTTCAATTCAATGGGATTTTCTTTCAAGTTTAATTTTAATACTGATGTAGGTTTATTATGTGTTTTTTATATTTTGTCCTTAGTCTGATAACAGACTACTAATTACAGTCATTAGCACTCCATTATTGGGCTTATATCATTATTGGGAGTTATCAAAAGTCATTATGGGTAACTGACATCCCAGTGTGTTGTTTATGTGACTCTCCTGGTTACCTCATATACCAGCGTGCTGTCTATGCAACTGTTCTGTGGAATTCGTATCCCAGTGTTTTCTTTATTATTTTCAAACTTTGAATAATTCAGGTGTGAATTTATAATGTTATATTTGTTAATCAGTGGTATTTTCAATTCAGACAGTAATGTATAGAAACTATTTTTTTGTAAGGCAACTACAAAAAACATGTATTCTTCTCCTGAAGAAATCCATAAATTGTTATGGGTGTTAGAAGATGAAGAGATGCATGGAGCATATCAAATAAATATGGCACAGTAACATTTGATCAAATATGTCATATGTTAACAGCAAGAAATAAAAGGAGGCTGTCTCTCTTATTTTTCTTCGGAATGTTGAACCATGCTGGTATAAACAGCATGATATTGTACAGCTTAGTTAACTGGAAAAAGAAGATGAAATGGAGAAATTATTTATTTGGTTTAGGCTATTCGTTACTTAAGCCCTGTTTGAAAAGAAGACTAGAAGTGGAGACATAATGAAATGGAGAAATTATTAGGCTATTCGTAACTTGAGCCCTCTTTGAAAAGAAGATTGGGAGTGGAGACACTCAAACGAACGGTGTATTATGACATGAAAGAAATTTTGGGAAGTAAAAAATAGACGACTAGTGTTGGAAAAGCAAGTCAAATATTTGTTTTGCCAAAGATAAAGACAAAGAAATGAAAACAATCATGGTTTTTTGGCAATGTAAGAGACCTATAACCTGCAATGAACACAGTTTGCTGAGATTGTTGTGAGTGAGTGGTCACATAAATGGTCCCCATTACAGGTTTTATTATCTTTTTAAGTAAAGAAAATATTTTTTTGCTGTATTATGTTTATATTTTACATTCCAAATATATATATATATATATATATATATAAAATAAATAAATTCAAGGTAACGTTAGAGAATATATTTTATATGATAGTAAAAAGTTAACATTTACATTGCTAAAAAATCAAAACGGGGTCAATATATTTCTATTGAAAATACATTAAGCTTATATCAATTAAATATTTATATTTAATTGATATAAGCTTAATGTATTTTCAATAGAAATATATTGACCCTGTTTTGATTTTTTAGCAATGTAAATGTTAACTTTTTACCATCATATAAAATATATTCTCTAACGTTACCTTGAATTTATTTATTTTTTTGTTTTTCTGATTGTTTAGCTTATTTCTGAAAAGTCTTATTTGAGTCTTCCAGAGTATGACAATTAAATTTTATGGTAATCTAAAGTTTGGAATGTTCCACTCATCAGAGTGTCAGATAGAGTTAACTTTTTTAAGTGTCTCGTTCTATGGTTAAAAAATCCTTTGTTATACGTGCTACCTTGGAAGTTTTTAGAATTCCCTACCAACCTCCGTATGCAAATCCTTATCCTTGACCTCATTTAAACATAATTTATTTATCTATCTTCTCAGCAATCAATCTTCCTCATATGTGTAAAATAATGTTCACATGTTTCTGACCTGTCAGTCCCATTTAATGCTTTCCTATAGATAATTATATATCATTCACATTGTCAATTTATACAAATATGTGAAGTCACACATCTGAATTTATCTATAATTTCATATTTCTACAAGTGCTATTTCTTTATTTTAGGTCTAGATAACCTTGTAATTTAATTTATTCCTAACGTTTCTAATGCTAGACAATTCTCAGTAAATTGTACATTGTAGTTATTCTAATGGGACCTAGTCTCAGAATAAAATTTATTTTTTATTTAATCTACAATGAGGATGAAATGCTAAAAATTTTCTTCACATACAATATACAGGTTCGATTTTTAGTTTCTGAGATATTTTGATTCAAATGCAAAATTTAGTCGATTTGAGCAGACTTGATCCATACATTTCAAGTGTGACAGAACAGTATTTTTTGTGGGTAATGAATAGGTGCTAAGAACACCTAAACAAGTTTTCACATCAAAAAATTTATGTTTTATTTCATTATTATTTTTTTTTTTTTTTTTGCAGACCACTTGGCCCAGTAGACCCAGTGAATAATAATAAAATAAATAAATAAAATAAACCTATAATCCATCCAAATCCTTGGCTTACCAGTCTGTCGTTTACTCTGAAGGACATTGTCCACTACTTTTCTAGGAATTTCTTCTACTTCCATCCTTGGGATATGGCCAGCCCAACTGTGGCTCCCCAGTTTTATAAACTTTTCAACGTCCATATCTCTGTAAAAGTCATAAAGTTCCCCGTTTCTCCTAATCCTCCATCCATCAACATCTCTCATTGGGCCAACTATTTGCAGTAAGATTTTTCTTTCGAAAATCAAAAGATTATTTTCATCACTTCTTGAGATGGTCCAGGATTGGGAAGCATATGTAAGAACTGGGCGTATAAGGG